AAACCTGATTGCAATACCAACACTGGTTACATTGACAAAGAGGCTCGAACTTTAGCTACTGGCAACGCCTCTCATAACTCATGGTCGACGATTTACTGAACAAGCGTTCAGTGAACGGTCTTTGCAGGTCTTCCAGAGCTTTCCTGTCACCCATACTCATGTTCTTATAAATGATGCTACAGTATTCAAGGACAGGTATGATTATTCTGAAAAATTCGGTTCTAACATTCGGTTCTGACATATGTTAACCATAGATGGTTTGGCGTTTGCTATTCGATACTGAGCTTGCTCTGAGAAATTCTGGTTTGAAGAGTATCGTGTGCATAGATCCCACATGCATTCATTGTTCAGTATAACTGACTTTAGGGATCAACCATCCGTGTGACATAATGCTTGCTGAGAACCTTATCATCCATGTGACGCAGCATGTATGGACAGCCAAAAGTTCACAAAGGTGTATCTCTACGCCCAATATTGTCCATGACAAACTCCGCATGTCATCCTACAGCCCAGGGGTTGGTAGAATTGCTGGAGCCAGTAAGAAAATGAATTGCCCAACTTAGTGTTTGGGATAGTTTTACATTCGTAGAGCACATTAGAGATGGGAACCTGAAGGAGAAGAAAATGTTCTCACTTGATGTAGCTTCTTTATTCACGAATGTCCCGCTGCATCTATGTGCACGAGAACAGCATTAATTTAACTATACCCTTGCAATGTCTGAAAGAATAACTTCTGAAATGCATCTGCAACGTTCAGTTTCTTTTCGACGGCATATATATTACCGGCAGATTGATGGGGTCGCAATGCTGTCCCTACTCGAACCAGTGCTGGCAGATATTTTTCTTGCAAAACTAGAAACTGAATCATTTGGTCCACTTACAGATCATTTCGACCATTACTGTCGCTATGTGGTTGACATCTTTTGTGTGACCCATAAAGATATCTCTCTGGAGGATATATTGGCAGAGTTTAATGGTGCGCACCCGGCGATTAAGTTTACTTACGAACTTGGACAAGATGGTCAACTCTCATTTCTGGATGTACACCTTAGTATACGAATTGACGATTCCATATTAAGACCAACAGAAAGAAGAAGTGGACCGGTCAGTATACAAACTTCAGTAGTTTTGTACCCCTCTTAAATATAAGCGTAACTTAGTACATTGTCTCATCTCAAGAGTGAGGAAAATATGCTCAGAGGACGCACTCGAGGATGAGATGAAATCCATCCAGAACACGTTGCTCGAAAATGGTTATTCGGAAAGATTCATTTAGCGCGACAGGCAGCCCAAACTAACAGCTGTCGTTGGGCACGTAGTGGAGAAAAAGGCCCTCTTCATTCGCCTTGCTTTTAAAGGTAATACAGTTAGTGAGGTTTCAACAAGAAATCTGACAATATAGATAAAGAACACCTTTCCGGCTGGAAAAGTGTGCTTCATCTTCGCCACGAACCAGCTACTTCCTGTGTGCAACAAGGACAGACTGCCGAAGTTGACCCCCTCTTACCTTATCTATCGCTTTGAGTGCACTTGTGGGGCAACATATTGGTCGAACGGCTCGTCAACTGTCACGTCGCATTAAGGAACATAGCTCTAAATGGTTGGTGAACGGGGTCACCGTAGTTCTTACAAGCGGTATTTTGTCCCATCTGTTCGAATCAGGTCACCAGATTAACCTTTCGAATGTCTTAACCGTGATTTATCAAGTTCCAATGAGCAAATCGAAAGGTACGCGGTTAAGGATGCTCGCGACTGCAGAGGCCATTGCGATCCGCATATTCCAACCCCCACTGTGCTCGCAAAAAGTTTGTTCAATCTCTATACCTGCCCTTGTCGAACAGTCATCAGCCTAGCCGTCACCCTGACATCGGTTCATGCATTGTGATTACGTAACCTTCAATTGATCTGTGTGAATGAGACAGCGGCAAACTATTCGCTGTCTAACCATTGACCGAGTCATTTCAGAACAAACCACCAACCAATCACTATCCAACCCTTTGTAGTTTAACCTTATATGATTGTACCGGCCCGTAGATGAATCACTGAAAACAATTGTTTGCCTCGGACTGGTGTTCTTGATGAATCATTGGGAATGTTCCATACTTTAAGACGCAGCATTTCTTAAGTGAATCGATATCTTCTTGATCGAGCAACATTGCGCTATGGAGTTCGTCTCGTCGAAATTTATAAGCAATCTTTATGTCATCAGCAAACAAAATGTCATGTTTTATGAACACCGTGCTATTGTTAATATAATGTAGGAAAAGGGAAAGAACAAGTACATTCCCTTGGATGACACCACTGGTGATTGGAGGTGGGGAGGAGTTATGATTACCCAGAGTGGCTATCTGGTAACACCCATTTAGGTATGATTTCAACTAACCAAATAGTGGGTCTCTGATTCCAAATGACTCGATTCTTTTCAGTAGCCACTTGTGGGGCACTCTGTCGAATGCTTTTTGCATATCCAGCAACAACGTTATAACTGCATAATTGAAGCCAACGGATTCTGTGATGTGCAACTGATACGTTGTACAGGAACATTTCTCGAGGAACCCATGCTGGGATTTGTTAAGCAGCCCAAGACGGTGGGTGAAATCCATGATACCACTTTTAGTTAATTTTTCGAGTACTGTAGCGATGACGACGTAGGATGGATAGGTCGATAATTAGTGACATTCTGTTTGGGCCCCACTTTATGACGAGGGACAATAGACGATGTTTTCCACCGTTCCGCAAAGTAACTAGATTCTAGCGACAGTGTAAACATGTTCAGCAAAAGCAGTGATATCAGGTCCACCAAGTTTAGTGACTGGTGGAAATATGCCATCGGGCTCTAGTTTGAGCGCTGTTTTGATGGACTTCTTAGCCTGTTAGGTGGTCGAGAGAGAAATCTCGACATTATGTATGACGCTTGTTGTTGTAAGTTTCGGACAGGAAGGGATAGGGTTGATTTCTACGTTCATTGACACAGCGAAAGAAGAACTAAACGCTTCACAAATAGCAGGTGGGTTGTTAAGGTGGCGACCCTTTTCATCGATCAGTCCCGTAACCAAGGACGTCCGATCGTTAGTTTTACGATTGAATGATTTTGTCTGTTTCTTTTCTCCACCTGTCGTCTGCTGCGCGTTCTTTTCATTCCGCCTCATTTATGATCGCCTTATACAGGCGATGACTTTGTGCAACCGCTACTCTTCACAACATATCGATTGGTTGGTCCTAAAGTGTAAGCCGAAATATCTGTTTGGGTACCGGTCAATATATATGTATCCCCATTGTCCCAACACAAGCAGACAAATTTTACCATGATTTTACGGCTGCTGTTATTGGGAAAATCGATCAGCCTCTGTGCATATTTACTGGTGCTTTCAGTAGATTTGACACTACATTTCTTACAACTCCTGGACTACAGACTATTGCAGTGTCCCAGCAAGTTAGTAGCAACTCTGAATTTAGTATATGTCAGAAATATAAAAAAACTTTCGGTCTGCAATCGGGAACCACTCGGCAGCTTAGATCATACTACAATCAAGTTATCTCCTGCTGTCTACAGTAAGACAAACCACAAGAATGTCACTTTGCGATGATCGTAGTTGGAAATGACGATAATCTCTCCCTTCATAGCGTGACTGAGAGAAACGGTTGCTTCCAGTCTTAAATTTATTTTTCGTCACCGATATATCGACATGCTGTGACAAAATGACAAGCTATCTGAACTGTTATGATCTCTGTTGCCCGGTGGAAATCATCTTCATCCTCGCTGATCATTTTTCTTCATCCTATCTCAAGCACCTGCGTAACCTCAAGGAAATAGCTTCCAGAAGGAAAGATCGTATTTTATTGAACTCCCTTTGCTTGTGTTAAGAAGTGCGCCATCTCAATCATGTCTATGTCCAGACACTTCTGGGAAACAACAACTGCCGTGAGATTTGGCGGATTATGATACAGTTCAGTAGAGTCATCCGTCAAAGCACAGTTTCTGACGTGGACGCAGAAGAACTAAATTGCAATTTCTGCTGCTGCAGCAGTGACTCATTCTCTAACTCAACCTGTGCACCGTTTCATGGTCTACGGACTCACTGCCTCCTGTTGACGCTGGATTACTGCACAGATAGTTAACCCAGCTGCACTCACGCAAGGTTTGCAGACCTGACAGATTGTCTCCTGTTGTCCACAAGCAGTGTGCGGATTCCTTAGCCCAGCCTCTGGCTGAATTCTGCACAATGTGCCTAAAGCAAGGAAAACTCGCGGATGGTTGGAGGATTGCTAGCACACCAGTACGAAAGAAAGGGATAGATAAACATCAGGCTGTTGCATCCACTTCGGTGGCTTTGAAGGTTTTTGAGAAAATCGTTCTTGCAAAAAGGCTGGCTCATTCCAACTTGGATGACTCATTTCACTTTGTGGATAGAAGTTTAAGATCCACAGAGGACGCAATGGTTTATCTAGTGCATTCAGTGTTGTCGTCGCTAGATCGTAAAAGTAAGTCCATACATGTTTGCTTCCTCGACTACAGCAACGTCTTCGGTTGTTTTACTCGTAAATTGTTGTTGCAAGATCTACTCATGTCTGGTGTTCAACCTTCCCCAGTATTCTTTATGATTATTATTATGTATTATTATTATGTACTATTATGATTATGTATCCTTTGATTGTGTATTGATTATGTACTCTTTATGATTATTTCTGCAGACGTACTCAGGTCACCAGATTTGGCGGCAAAAGCTCCTCACCGCCTACCACAAATTCCAGTGTCTTTCAAGGAGCTATTTTGTCATCATTCACGTTCTCTACTTACGGTAGCTGTATATCTGTCCCAGAAGTAACAATTCCGTTAAAATATGTGGATGACGTTATCATTGGCGTGAATCAGCACACCTCGACCTCCTCAGCTAAGCTGCCAAGTTGTTTAGACGAATTAATCCAATGGTAAAACTCCCGCTGCTTGACCCCGAACGGGTCCAAGTGTAATGACATTCTATTATCACTTCATTAAGCAGCTCGTTACCAGGAACTTGTCATCGAATGTCCCAAACTTCAGGCTGAAGTTGGCAGTTTGAGCTTCTGTACGTCACTGAAGTATCTTGGAGTTACACCCAGCGAATCAAATATTCGGCGAAGTCAGGCGATTTTCTTTTTAGGTTGCTTGATTACGACCATGCTAATTTTGAATTTCATTACCGCGCGCATTCTACCACACTGGACTTATTGCTATCCTGTAATATTTCCGGACCTGTCACATGAAGAGCATCGTTACTTGATTAATTTTATCGCCCCAGTCACGAGTTCTTGTATTTGGATCCAATGCACTGAGCCACCTGGTTCACACCTATTTAACTATTTTGTATCACTGCGTAACGGTGATCATCATCTGTTATGCTTTTAGCGTCTATTGCATGCTTTCCTGTCACGAGTATGACGAAACGTGGTGCACTTGGCGAAGTAAGTTCTTTTTAATTCTGATAGGCCCATTTAATCTTAGGTGTCTTCTGAAGATAGATCAAAGCCAGTCAAGATATCTAAACCCTCCTTAGATAGTGATGAGGAGGATTATCAAGAAGCCGACAACTTCCGTCTTCGTGAAGGTGATATTGACGGTATATGTCATTCCTTTCTTACAGTTGCAAATCTTTATTTATTAAGGGCAGGAGAATGCTACATTGGAATACGATGAAGACATAAAGATAACCCCTTTCAATATGAGGGAAGAGCTGGAGGAAGATGGTTACTTCGACGGGAATGGGAATTTCATCTTCAAGAAAAAAGTGAATTATTTTCATATTGTTACATCTCACATTGGACGTTGAAGGTCGATGCACGAGATAACTGGCTTGAAGATATTGATTGGGTTGAAGTAAACAAACAACAAATCGCGCGCAGAGTACCTGACTCTACAACCACTACTGACGCGCCCGATGTGTCCTCAGACATGGTGGGGAAAATGGACTTGTATCAGAATTTGCTGAGTTTGATGCGCCCTAAGGAAACAGTGTTACGGAGCATCAAGCGCATGGGCGCTCCTTCTGCGGCTCTCAAGGCCGCCTCCGCCAGTCAGAGGTGGTTGAAGAAAAAACAGACAGTCATCGATCAATTACAGAGGTGCGATACCTGTGTTTGACTGATTATAACATGAGTCTTTAGAGTGATTTCTAAGATGTCGACTGCTAGTTGTGCTAGGTTATCCATAATTGTTTGCCTTATAAAGTCACTGCTTACTTATATCACACATTAAAGAGACTTAATCTTAGCGTAGTGCAATGATCGTGTGCCTCCGCGATCCATTATTATACGTACGTTAGGTGGCTCCCATCATGTATCTTCAGAGGCGCTCAAGCCTAGAGAGGTCGATGATTCGAGGCCAAACAAACTCTCTCCGTGTTATCCTCCTCGGACATCGCTGAGACGTCACTGTCCATCTTCCTTCCCAGCTCATGCATGGGCCGCAACAGTATACGTACTGTAAGCTCCTTGCGTGTCGCCTTTGACAATGGGAGAGCACCATGTTGATTTACTGGTTTGCTACCGCCCGCCTCAAGACGGGTATCCTCTCGTCAAAGGCGCAGTCCAGTCAACCTCTACTTGAAGATGGCTGTTATCGCGGATGCATAACGTACTGCGGTCGTAAGATACATTTGAATTGTTCTAACTCTAAACGCTAGATATGGCAGATCCAAATGGAAATCTGCAATCAAACTCCCGAACTGGACTTGTTCCCAACTGTTTTGTAGATCTTAGTTGTTATCTAAAGGCTCCAGGTTGAGTTCTTCAATCAAATGTTCTTTTATGATGCTAAAGTCAGACCGTTGAGCGAAAAGCTGGAGGCAGGACATCTTGAGGAAAACTTTTCGTAGTTGACAGCCTTATTGTATCACCTACTTGAAGATCCTGTCGCCAGTTTTACTTCTCTTCTTCCAACTATCCTTTTAGGTTAACGAGCTACAGACTACCGCTAATTTCACAAAATGCTAACCGTACACTGAACTCGTTCTTAAGACTTAAAACGATCTTCATTTTGTTTCCATCAGCGATCGCATTTCAGTTTACGCTGGCCAGACGCCTTCATTCCATCGTGATTGGTATGCCACGTTGCTTCGATTAACTATCAATCTGTCAACGACTATATCCTCTAGGTTCCATGCGGTACTGAACCACTGGTCCAACGTATTTGCAGTGACATTATTGCTCTTAATATAAATTCCGTAGGCCATATCATTACGAACCGATCTCTGCCTTTTTTACGGTCATAGTGCCTCCCTATTAGGTCATTTCGTATTTCGTCTGACTTGCTTTCTCAGAAGTAGGCTGTGTAGAAATCCTGGAGTTTTAACGGTTGTATTAAGTAGTTCCTACTGTTTTCTGTCGTTAGCGGAGATCCAGAGGGATTGTTGCGAGCAACTGAACTCGCAGATCAACTTCTCCAAGGCGGCGAATTTGACGTTTACCAGATGACTTACGAACAAATTGAGAAGTTGGTGCGAAAAGAAGAAAACGTCGAGCCGGAGGACGAACTTGATGCCCTCGGCCATGCAATTGACAGTGTTTCCTCCAAACCAGAAGGTGGATTGAAATCCACTAACGGTAAGTCCCGTAACATTTGAATATATCAACCGTCGTCCAGGCACTGCTGCTTCGGTTGGCTCTTACTCCTTCGTTGCATCTCATTATGTGTGTCCATCTGTAAACATATACCTACTAGCGTACTTCCGCTTGGCTCGTTTTTTAAGCGGCCGTTTTTCAAGTGTTCCCAAACAGGTTTGTGATAGTTCAGTTGTATACATGCTCATCACGCTTGAAAACTGGGCTTCGACCGCTCCATCACCAATCCCGTTGACGTCATCATGTTAGATGATTTGGCAAGAAAGCTTTCGCAACTCAGCGAGTGCAAGAACACCTGCACACCCAACCTCAGCTGTGTTCCGGGTCATTTTGCGTTTATGATGGAATCTATTCAAAAGACTACGCAATTTTAGCTGTGCTGGTCCTATTTGCGCGAACGAATTTCTGTGTCTCGATCGACGCTACAAGCTGCACACGAGCGGGTAAAAAAGGTTTCATCCAGAAGTAATTCATCACAGTCCACTCTCAACCAGCAGGTTTTGGCACGTCTGGAAAAGCATCAGCAATACGGCGGTACGCAGTACCGACGCTTCACTGCTGCGCAACCACCACCGGGCGCACGTGGTCTGAGGATACTGCGAGGATCGCCCTGTCTCTGCGCAAGCTCGAACCCGCGCCGTATGATTACGAGTCAAGCACGTTACCTCTAAGCTACGGGCCGGTAAAAGCGATGTTTCGACCTTCTAAGTCTCGTCAGTGGCGCATCTTCCTCGGACCACATGACTTCCGGATGTCAGCAGCTTGGGCCACTAAGCCATGGGTGACAGCCGCGGGTCTGCATGATTGACAGTTGACTATGATATAGCCCGGCTCATCTTCCACTTCCATGCCAGTTAGGAACTGTTGTCGATACAACCACGACCAGGGCGGAAGCCAGTCTGGCTTTCAGTGATTCGGTTCTCACGGTGTCCAGTAAGTCGTCGGAGAATGATAACCGTGAGAAGTTCGTAGACAATGGAAACAAGGCTGATGGCTCGATGATTTTCCATAAGTACGCTGACCCTTCTTGAAGACGAGCACGACAGTTGGCAGCCGCCAGTCTGAGGGGACCTCTTCACTGTTGCAAATCTTGTTCAGTAGAGTAGTGAGTTCAGTCAACAAAGGGTCACCACTATCTTCCAGCAAAGGTAAAGGAAAGTCGTCGGGTCCAGGATCCTTGTTTCGTTTCAACACGGAAACATAAGGTCGAACCACTTCCAAAGTGGGAGGTGTCACTTCTGCTTCCCACGACGGCGCAGGCGATTCGTAAAGCGGCAGTGTCGCAGCAGAAGAAATGTTCCAAGGATTCCGCAAACAGCTCTTATCCATCGCTGAGGCTATCTACATTCACTATCTGAAGCTGGAATTATGCGTACCAAAACGATTCATACGGCCGATACTACTTACCACCTCGGCCAACGGGCACTGTTATCTAGTTGTTATCCTACCTAATTAATTACTTCCGACTACTGATCTTTGTGTATGCATGTTTATTCAGTTTCCTTGGTTTACCATCTCTATGCCTGCCTCAAGGTATCGAGTTTGATCATCCCCAGTCCAGAAGTCAATCCCAGCCCGAGTTGACGCTTTTCCCACAATCAGTGCTACGTAAACGTTTGGGTCCAATGAGACTTTACCGAAACGAATTCTTTACCCTGAACTGATTTCTGATATTGGTTCATATTAATGAAATGGGAATCTTTGTTTCGCTGAAGACCAGCATTGCCTGTGATTCATTGAAACTCTTGAGTGAGTATCTGAAGTTCAATACTCGGCTGGAAGAATCCAGGGTCGAATTGGAATTCCTCATTGAATGCGTGCAGGCAAGCCGTTATCCAAAGCACTTTTGGAGGGAAATACGGCGGTGTGGCCTCTTCCCAAACGCGAAAACTTTGAAGAGGCATGCGCTCAATTATGTGGATACCATCCGCGTTAAGATGTCGGAGCTGGAGAGATTCATTTCGCAAAGATTACCAGCGGTGTTATGCCTGCCTGAAGACTTGAGACAACCTTTTGAGGAATACGTAGAACTGGTTAAACAGAAAATGGGAGTAAGGAAACAAAAGAAGTTAGTTAGTACGCTTAACAACCATGTCCCCCAGCTGACATTTCCGAATAACCCGCAGCGATATGTGTTTAACCTTTCAAGTGTGATACTAACCCAGACGCAGCTGAACGTCCAGAGTTTTACATTCCATGTAGGGAAATATATCAGGCGGCTTTAGAGGTGCAGTTTGAAAGTCTAATTGCTCAGACTAAAGACTAGAGGACCGTTACCTAATGCGTTCGAGTACGGGGACAAAAGACAGTCTAAGGCAAAAACATAAAATGGAAGAAAAATCAATACGCTTGCGTTATAGTTCCTCCTTCAGTCGATGTTACTCCGATGCCGACTAGAGAATCGAAGATATAAATACGACTAGTAGATAGACGTGGCAGCAGCACAAGCAGAGGCAGCAGCAAAAGCGAAAGCAGCACGACGCGAGCGCGTAGAACTTGCTGTATTCACAATTTGTGAATTTAGACAAATGGTACAAAATGATCGGTAACGGAACTGATAAAAACAAAGATAAAATATAGTATAATCACAACCACTACAAGACCTGTTTCCAACCTCATCAGGTGATGTTGAGAATCTAAAATCTAGCCCAGTTCATAGTTGTCACAAATACGTTAAGACCAAACCATCTACTAATATCATTATCACTAGGGAACAAATTCATTCAAGTTCAAGTGGGACCGGAACAGTAGGAAAGTCCCGCGAATATTCCACCTTCGAAAACGTCATTGATCCAACAGGGAAACGGGTGCTTTGATGTGCCAAAAAAGAGCCAAATCAACACACGATTCACATGGTCAACCAAACAATGTTCACTTGCCCTGTACTAGCAGTCCCCGCTGTGCCGGCCACGTGAAGAATAAAAGAAATTAGTAGTGTCAGTAAAGGAAAGGAAACGGAGGAGAAGGCAAGCTTATCGAATTTCGTAGGCAATCTTAAGATGTAAGTTAAAATGAGTTAAAGAAGCGTAGGCCGCAGTAGACGAGTAAAGTTTAAGACGTGAAGGGGAAGACTTTAAACTGCAGACCGAGAACGTCAAGTCGATGCTCGAACTCTTTCGCCGTCGATGCCATCACGACGTCTGCAGACAGTGCATTCCAATAAGCTATGACCCTACGCGATAACCGAAAAGCTGTCCAAACCCGGTCCGACCGGGGTTTGTGCAACTTTAATGGGTGGCCACGGTAGGTTGGCGCTCGAGTTGGGCGAGACAGTCCAGTCAAATCATTACCAATCTGACCCATCAGTATACGATATGTGAGGACCAAGTCGCCCCGAAGCCACCTGCAATACATGGAAAACACATTTAACTTAAGTAACCTCTCCGGGTACGTCAGCTTCTTTAATCCGTGCACCATTTTCGTCCCGGACCGCAGGACTCGTCATCATCATCATCATCATTACACGTTAGCTGGAGGTGGAAAACACCTCAGCTATTGTGCCGCAATACAAAAGACAAGAATAGGAAAACAAACGGCGGCACGCCCACTGAGTCCCCAGTAACGGATGGACATCGTTCCTGAGAGCTAGCAGCTGGCTGCCGTCAAAGAGTCATATTATGCCTAACAAGTGAGATCGTGATTGGAGGGGGATGCTAAGCAGGAGGGGGACGGACAAAGGAACTCACAACACAAACGCCATTGGGGGCCGGCTCCTAGCCATATCAGCGAGTGTGTCCAACCAAAAGCGTTCATCGTCCTTAGGACCCCAGCCAGGCAGTCGGGATACACCAACCGACGCCAACTTCGAAGTGAGGGTTTTCATTTCTCCCGACCAAGTCATCACTTGGTCTCCCCTCCTCCTCTTCCAACCGCGCAAACAATGCACGTCGCGGGAGTCGGTGTGCTGGCATGCGCAACACGTGGCCTAGCCATCGGAACCTGATGCGTGATATAATGGTGCTGAGCGGTTCACTCGCTCTTCCTACACCAAATACGCGACGTCGAACACGCTCATTGCTCACGCCGTGCTCCCACCAGACATGAGCTAAGCTGCGAAGGCAGCGATGATCGAATGTGACGAGCCTCTTTATGTCTGTCGACCTGATGGGCCAGGTTTCACAGCCATATAGGAGAGTTGAACGGACGGCTGTGTTGTAAACTCTGCCCTTCAGGGCGAGAGTAATGTCGCGTCTGCGCGCGTCTGTGGCGGAGATTGGCAAAAGCACCTCGAGCTTTCGCTATACGGTTCGTAACCTCATCTTCAATCCCACAGGTGCTAATATAGCTGCCCAGGTACTTGAATTCCTGAACAACTTCTAGCAGATCACCACCAAGCGTTAGCGCAGGGTTGGGTCCCTGCCAATCTTGGAGAAGTACTTTGCATTTCGATGGAGCAAAGCATAGCCCAAAACGATTGACAGCCAGTGCTAATCGGTCCAGTGCTGTTTGGCATGTTTGGGAGCTGTCACAGATTAGGGCAATATCGTCCGCATACTCCAAGTCAAGAAGTCGCTCACCAGGAAGTAGCTTCACACCTTTTAGGTCGTGTCCATCGAACGCTTTTTACATGACTTCATCAACAGCGAAGTTGGAGATGGAAGGTGACAACGGGCATCCTTGTCTCACACCGCTGGTGATACTGAAGGGTGGCGACAGTTTGCCATAAACCCTCACCCTGCCCGAACTATGCGCGTACAGCGCTTTGATAATATTTGTGTATTTATCAGGCACACCTTACCTCAGCAGACAGTCCCAAAGGGCACATCGATCGACTGAGTCGAAGGCACGTTTTATGTCAAGAAACACGACAACGGTGGGTCGCCAGTAAACATGGCGGTGCTTCAACACTTGACGCAAGGTGAAGATGTGGTCGACGCAACCCCGACCTCGACGAAATCCGGCTTGCTCCTCACGAATCTGGCTTTCACGAGTGCCAGTCAGTCTGTGGAGAATGACAGAGGCAAGCAATTTTGAGGCAATCG